GCATGCTCATCAGGCAGACGTGTAGGGCATTCTCTGCATTACTTGAATTTTTTTTTCTCTTTTTGGTAAGTACTCATGGTAGGAGTCTTATAAGTTAAGTGTGTGTACTCTATTGAGAAGTATATAAACTTATATGTCACTTAGCAAGGGGCTGTGTAAACCCTCTGCCCAAGAAAATGTCAAAGCCTCCAAATCTAAGCCACTTTGTGGGTGAGGAGGCAGCCTTTAGCTTCTCCTCTTGAGAGAAGAGCAGTGTTCTCTGAGGGCAGAGGCTGCTTCCGAACTCTGATTCCCAACCTGTTTTGATGACTGTCCCACAGCCACTGTTCTGGAAGTCTGCCCAGCTCAGTCCTACCTAGCCTTTCACTTGGTACACAAATCACAATTGTCATGCCAGAGGTCAGCTGGGTGCCTGGGAGAGCAGTTCAGTTAAACGCAGTTGGATTCGGAGCGTTAGGGTCACTCTGGGGCCATAGGAGGGTTTCAGAACTTGCATTTGATAAATGATGAAAGGCAAGAATATAATACCCCTTCCTTTACCATGTACCATGATGAGTAATAATGGGTGAGAGGGCACAGATACCATGTGCCAGGAAAACCAAGGCATTCAGAAGCTTACTTGGAATCACAAGTTGCTCCTTCCCATTGCCACGGCTTTAGATTTTGTTGTTGTTGTTTATTTTTTGGGAAGCTCCTAGTGATGTCTCTTAAAAGGCAAACAAACACTTGATCAGCTGAATCAGAAAGTCCTTATTGGTGAAAAAGCAAAAGAATACCAATAAAACATACATCAATAGAGGGTTGGTTAAAATAATTATGGTATATCCTTATAGTAGAATTTTATGCAGTCATTAAAAAGAACAAGGTAGAGCTATCTGTTCTAATATGGAAGAATCTCTGAGACATGTGTACTGTTATGTGAAAAAAGCAAGGTGCATAATAGGTACATTGATGTTGCTGTTCGTGTAAAAGGGAAAAGGAAGCTATGGAGATAAGTTGATATGATTATGCTTATATTTGCTTTGCATATCTCTAGAAAGAAACGAAAAGCAGCTGTTGCTTCCATGAGGAAAGACGTATTTATTGTACTGTTTAAAAATTTTTATGTGTGCTTGTATTAAATTTTCAAAGATCATAACATGGAAGTCCAACCACAGGAAACGAAAAATACTTGCAACTCACCTGCACAATGGTGAGTAACAGAATTTCTACTGCTCTTTGCTTTGCTGGCAAAAAAAGTTCTGCAATCATTAAGTAAAGTGATCCATATTTGAGTTGGACTACTTCCCACATACAATAGAAACGTTCTGACAATCTGTCAATGACAAATAATAAATCAGGTAATGGTAATTTCTGGATTGGATCAGAGTTATAATGGCTGGGCTCATTAATCCCGTAGAAATTCTCCCTTGACTAAGAAATGAATGCTTAGTAAAGATGGAATAAGAAAATGATTTCAAGAATCATAAAATTTATTATTTCTATGAATAATTGATATTGAGCCCATTATTTGAAAAATTGTGAGAGCAAGAATTTGTAATCATAGAAAGCATGAATCAGGAGTGCACCTGGGTAATCAGAACTGGGAGAAAAGTTTCTTTACCGGGGAAAAAAGTGCGTGCTTGTCTTGGCCCTTCATTTATTCTATAAGCTTCACTGAGTACTTGCCCGGTGGATGGAAAGTGTAGCAAAGTGCTAGGTTAACAAAAGGAAGTATAGCTGACATGCCTTCTCCATGCCCCCAATCCATTTCTCCCTTTCCTGTGACAATATCTGATTTTCCTTTGGGAAACTACCAATTCTCTCCTCTTGATACACACACACACACACACACACACACATTTTTTTTTTTTAAGACGAGACTAACCTTGCACCTTGACACCCTTCCCCATTGACCACCACAGGTATAGGAGGGGTACCTGGTGTATTCTAAGCCCTTGGTCACAGTGCTGTGCATGGAACTTGAAGAAAAGCAATCCTGCGACTTTTGTGGAACTATTGGGAAGAGGAGGATCTCCTCCCAATGGAGGCTGAAGCTGTGAGGATGTGAGCTTGAGGCTTCCAATAATTAGACAAAGAGACCAACAGAACCAAAATGAGAGCTGAGGGAGACAGTCTGGGTAGCATCAGTGGATACTAGGTCCAGCCACACCTGAAATAGGACTGCCTCTGGTCTTTTTAGTTACAAAAACTAATACTAATTTCCTTTTTTGTTTAAATCAGTTTAGTAATATATTTGTCACTTGAAAACAGAATGATCTCAACAAATAGAAGAGATGAAAGACAATTCATGCACCCAAAGTGCTCCAGTTCACCAGGAAAAGCAGACACATAACCGAGAATTACTTACCTGCAAAGGGCACTATGACAAGGTTCATACCTGGTGTTATGAGACATGGAAAATGTATATAATTTAAAGAGTAAAGTGTCTTAATGTTTATCTGCACTTGTCCCAGAATTCATGTCTAGACTCTGAAGCCCAGGCTCACACAAGAGATACACAGTAACTAAGTACAGGTCCCAACTCTACTCTATCCCTCTTGTGTAAGTCATTTATAAATAGCAGTTTTTCTAACCGTAAGAACTTCATTTTTTAATATTCATTTATTCAATATTTATTTCTACATCTTCAATGAAGAAAATGTATTAAACATAAGACCAAAAAAGAAATAAAAATCACCTAAAATATCTACTAACCAAAGATATTCACTTTGGTATAAATTTGACCAAACATTTTAAATTTAGAGGCTGATGCAGGAGGATTTCAAGTTCAAAGCCAGCCTCAGCAACTTAGAGAGGCCCTAAGCAACTTAGCAAGAAGCTGTCTCTAAATAAAATATTTTAAAAGGGCTGGGGATGTGGCTCCATGATTAAGCACCCCTGGGTTCAATCCCCATTATACTGCCCCTAAAAAAACTTTCTTTATGAATTATTGATTATTTTTTAAACTGGGATCATATCATTTTATAACCTGCATCTTAAATTTAGCACTACATTATAACATTCACCCATATTATTTGATATTCTCCTCCAAAATATTTAATTGGCTGGGTAACATTTACCTAATATCCTCTTGAACAGTTGGGCTGCCACCAATTTTTTATTATATGCAATATAGAGAAGGATGTCCCTCAGATAAGCCTTTGTGGTCATCCTATTTCCTTGAGACAAATTCTCATCCAAGGAGTTGCCCCCAACATAGATAAATATTTTCCATCAAATACTCAACCTTTCCTGGAAGGAGCAAAATCCCCAGTCAGCTGCATACAAGAAGCAACGTGTTTCCTGATTGTAGGAGTTAATCTTCCAGATGCAGACGGGAAAGGGAATAATTTCGGGGAGTCAGGAAGCCTATCTTCTGAGAGAAGGGTGTGGAGATACGACTTGTACTTGTTAATGTGTAACATATCATAAAATCTAAGCAGTATGGCTTGAAGAAGAAAAGTTATAAACACGAAGAGAGCTCTCCACCTTCAAACAGACTTTAAACCCATCCATTATGCTGTCCAACCCCAGAATCACTGATTCTAACACAGATCAGGTCTAAACATCCTCATCTAAACTCTTACATGGCCCTGTACTGCTTCCTGACTAAAATCCTTTAGGTAGGCCTTAACATCTCAGTATATGATTCACAAACCATACTTTGAGCCTTAGGTCCCTTCTAAGTCACCTGTCCCAGAGGCAGCATGGCCTCTGTTCACTGGAGGGATCCTGGACATGACCTGCTGTACACTTTGGTCCACATCATTCCTATTTTCTAGAAAGACATTCCCCCCTTCTCTACCTGTTGAGATCTTGCCACCCCTTCTGTAAAACTTTGAAGCTTATTGCATCAAATCTCTTGTTCCCCTGGTTTATCTTATGGTCGACCATGGGCTCCTTGAAAGCTTGATGTCTCCTTTAGCTTTTCTTGCCAACCAGCCCAGTGCCCTGTACCAGCACATCCCCCAAATGAATGTTGATGGAATAGTTTTTTTCCCCAAGCATTAAACTTATGTGAAATGGCACACAATTTAGCAGGATCACAATTAATGGAGTTATTCTCCTTCATTCGATTATCATATTGACCATTCTTGTCTACATCCTAGCCTTCTTAGACAGTTCAAAAGAGGCTTATTTTTGGTGTGGAGGGTGTTACTTGCAATAAAATTCAGCTTGAAATATGCTTTTAGCATTTAGTGGCAGTGTGAAATTTTGCATTATGCTTAGGGAAATTCTGAAAATAGCTTGAAATTGGACATTATAGTTTATTTTAAGGAAACAGAAGTAACAGCATACCAGAAAACTGGACTAAATAAATGGGCTTATGTTTTCCCTTCAGACTCCCCACAAACACATACAAATATGTGCCCAAAGCAATCCTTCCTTAACAGAACTCCACAAAATGAATCTCCAGCATTCATCAGATGAAACAATTTTGAAAAGGGCTTTAGAACAGTTTGACTCAGTGCTGAGACCTCAGGAGGAGAGGAACCAAGAGAGCCTTGTCCAACTGTTGAATGTCTTTTTATTCACCGCACTCTGCCTGGAGCAGCTGAAGAATGTGGCTCAGGGTGTTATTGGACACGCTGTGGGGAGTCGGTTTGAGTGAGGTTGACATTAGACACTTGCCAGCAAATAAATCTCCAGTACATTTCCTAGGCTGTCTCAAAATGTATGCTGTGCAGAAACTCAGGTCTGTTCAGAATGTATGGGTTTTGAAAGGCTAGAGTTGTGGTTTCAGACTTGCCACATCTGCATTTTGAGGAGAAGCCCGAGAACCTCTTTCATGGGTCACATGCGCTTGCTTGCCACTTGCTTAGGCTTTCAACGGGAGGTTGTGAGAGGGAGATGGGTCACACCCCTGCTCTGTCCACAGGGTGCTAACTGCGCAGACCTTTGTGTAAACCACTGAATTCTGTGTGATCCATGCAATAACAGAACCGCACGGCACTCACAGGGAAGAAAGCTGGGGGACGCTGGGGTGAGCAAACACAGCAGACCTTTGCACACTTCACACAGCGTGCGGCACGTGAGCCAGATTTGGAAGGATAAACAAGACTTAGCAAATGGACAGGGCAAAGGGCAGCACAGGCAGATGGAGCCGTGTGTACAGAGGCACAGCAGCATGAACAAAAACTGCTCAGTGCAGGGGAATCGAGTGCCACAGGGAATTAGCATGGAAATAAAGTGAAAAGTCGGACACAGCCAGGTATGTACCTGTCTATGCAAAAGCACACATCGGTGCTTGATAATCTTGAACTGATCCTCCAAATCAGCTGTCCATCCTGTCCTCCCTACTCTGTCCCTGTACCCAGGAGGCTGATCTCTGAAGTCAACACCCATGGGCTACCTCGCCCCCAACTTGGTTAGTTTTACTGGCAGGAAACCAAAGAGAGGTCAGGTAAGATATCCGCATGAGAGAGTCAGAGGTTTTAAGGAATTGCCTTTGGCCACTGTGGGGGCTGCAAGCCTGAGATCTGCAGTGCAGGTTGCACACCGGTGATAGTTGGTGTGACCTTCAGTAAGAAAACAGTCTGAGGCCAAACTCTGTCCTCCTCGGAGGAATCTCTGTTTTTTTCCTATTGAGGCTTCAAATTGACTGGAAGAGACCCGCCCACGTTATGGAGGTTAATCTGCTTTACTTAAGGTCTGCTGATTTAAATATTAATCACATCTTAAAAATATCTTCACAGCGACATCGAGACTGGTGTTTGATCAAAATCTGGTTTTGAGGCCCAGCCAAGTTGGCTCATAAAGTTAACCATCACAAATATTTATTGCCCCTGCTTCTTCCCTATCAGGTGCAAATTGGTACTGAATGCCTCCTTGGGGGGCCCTGACCAGCTGTCCTCTTGGTCTTCAGGCACAGGCCTGGAAGCAGTGATCTATTGTTGCTAGCTCCTGGCTGCTTCCTTAATCCTTGTGCTTCTGTCAACCCTGACTACAGCTTTGTAAACAGTTCCTTCATTGGACACTCTTCAATTATCCCACTCTGGTATTTTATTTCTTTCCTATAAGCATCCCATCAATGAATCTGTGCCACCTTAGAGTTGATAATCAAAAAAAAAAAAAAGAGTCAGCATGGAGGCACACGCCTCTAACCCCAGCAGCTCAGGTGGCCAAGGCAGGAGGATCACAAGTTTGAGGCCAGCCTCAGCAATGTAGCAAGGATCTAAACAACTCAGTGAGACCTTGTCTCTAAATAAAATATTTTGAAAAGGGCTGGGAATGTGGCTCAGTGGTTAAGTGTCCCTGGATTCAATCACTGGTACCAAAATAAATAAATAAATAGATAAATAGAAACTCAAGTCTCCAGACAATTTATAAGCTCAAGAAATGGCATCCATGATTTCAGAGATGTTATTGGTCATCTCTGTCATCTCAGGAGTTTTCGAATACTATCTCTCTGCCTGGGACAATATATTTGGCTTCTTACATACCCAGCTCTACCATTCTCTGAACCCCAAGGACTGATTAGCATTTTCCCATCTGCCCTCCGTAGTAGTCCCCTCTGAAGGGTTCACCAGATGGGTAAAATCTGGTCATCACTACCGTCCAGCACAATTCCTAGCAACATTCTTCCTGAGGGCAAGACCCAGCTTGTTCACCTCATTATCCTCCTCATTATCCCTAGTACTCCGCCCAGTGCCAGCCCTCACTACTAATAATAGTAACAACTATCATATTTATAGCTAAGGTACTAATCTGGGTAGCTTAGAACAACAGAAACTTGTCACAAAGTTCTGAAGTTAAACAAAATCCAGGTGTTGGCAGGGCCACCTCCCTTCTGAAACCCCTTAGGGAATCCTTCCTAGCTTTTGGTGGTATTGTTAATACTAGGTATTCCTTGGTCTGCAGTGTGTGATTGCAATCTCTTCCTGTGTCTTGCGTGGCCTTCTCCCTGTGAGTCTGTGTCTTCACATGGCATTTTCCTCTTAACAGGTGCACCTGTCATGTTGGCTTACAACCTTCCCTGATAGCCTTCTTTTAACTTGATTACATCTACCAATAAGGTCATTTTCACAGGTACAAAGAGGACTTCAGCATAACCTCTTAGAGGTCATAATTTAATCCATTACATTGAGAGCTGAGTGTGGGCAGGCACTATTCTCAGTGTTTCCCATCCATTAATTCCTTTACATAATGCCCTTGTAAGATAAGCACAATTACCCTGCCCAGGGTTGGAATTTAGGCAAAGAGAAGTGTTGCCCCAAGTTTAAATTGTACAAACTTGATAAGTAGAGGAGGCAGAACGCTCCTTCCCATCCTTCTTATTTCCTTCTCCTTTTCCTTTATGAATAATTTTAAAGCTAAATTTTAGGAATTACATAGATAGTGCTCCTTGAACTTTAATGTGCCTATGAATACTGGGATCTTATACCAGTACAGACTCTACCTCAGTTGGTCTGAGATTCCATCTTCCTAACCAGCTATGGGGGCCCACTGCTGCTTCTGGTCTATAGACATACTTTGATTGGCAAGACCACTTGGTCTCTAAGGACTAGTCATATCAGAATCATTTAGGGGTATTTTTTTTGGAGGGGGATACCAGGGATCAAACTCAGGGGCATTCAACCACTGAGCCACATTCCCAACCCTTTTTGATATTTTATTTAGAGACAGGGTCTCACTGAGTTGCTTAGCACCTCGCTTTTGCTGAGGCTGGCTTTGAATGTGTCATCCTCCTGCCTCATCCACCCAAGCCACTGGTCATTTAGGGGTATTTTTTTAACTATTAATTTTCCAGAACTCTTTTTTTTAAAGAGAGAGAGAGAGAGAGAGAGAGAGAGAGAGAGAGAGAGAGAGAGAGAGAGAGAATTTTTTAAATATTTATTTTCTAGTTTTCGGCAGACACAACATCTTTCTTTTATGTGGTGCTGAGGATCCAACCCTGGAGGCACGCATGCCAGGCGAGCGCACTACCGCTTGAGCCACATCCCCAGCCCCTTTCCAGAACTCTTTTAAACCTATTGACAGATTCTCAGAGGAGAATGAGAATCTGTATTTTAAGGGAAGGGATTCTGAAGGGCATTCAAGTTTTCAGACTACTGACCTAGGCAAACTATATGTTGATTGGAATTGGCCTGTTATAATGTCTTTTCCTATTAGAGCATTTTTATTAAGTGATGGCAATTAGAACATTTAGAATTAATTGGGTAACTCTATTTAAAAAAAGTCAACTGAGAGGCAGTCCCTTAAGTGGGTGGTCTGACCCTGTCCTGGGCAAGATTACATGTGTTGACATAAAAAATTGTACACTTATCAAAGTTGTAGATGGTAAATGGCTGGGCAAGAAAATTAATGTGATTGCTAAAAGAAAGCCAAAGTTTTTTTTATGTAAATTTTAAAATTTAATTATGACATCAGAATGCATTACAATTCTTATTACATATATGGAGCACAATTTTTCATATCTCTGGTTGTATGTATAGTGTATTCACACCAATTTGTGTCTTCATACATGTACTTTAGATAGGTGGCATATATACACAATGGAATTTTACTCAGCAATAAAAGAGAATAAAATCATGGCATTTACAGGTAAATGGGTGGAGTTAGAGAAGATAATACTAAGTGAAGTTAGCCAATCCCAAGAAAACCATCCAAAGTTTAAAAGAGGCTCAGTAGGCTACAGCATACTCTGAAAGCAGTAGCTTTAGGAGTAATCATAGTAAGCTATAGTCTTACATCAGGTTTAGAAAATGAATGTAGAAGCAAATGATGGTGAAAACCTGACTTGAAATTATTGATGTAAAAAGAATCTAGAGAGTTTAGTTGATCACTAACTCATTATAAACCAACAGTAGAATGCAATTACCATTCTGTGTCTTCAGAACAAGGGGGTGGCAATCTCAACTTTTCTACCTGGTGAGAGCAGGGCAGGTATATCATGTTTACTTTGAGATGCCATGTATTAGGAGTGGCATTGGATTGTGCCTTGTGGAGAAAGATCAGACTGGTGGGGAAATTGTAATTCACTGCCCCCAGAAACAGGATGGAAGAAATTGATACTACTTTGGAAGAGAGAAGTCAAAATACTACTAGATCCAGGCAAGGTGGCTCATGCCTGTAATCCCAGTGGCTCAGGAGGCTGAGAATTGCAAGTTCAAAGCCAGCGTCAGCAACTTAGCCAGGCCTAAGCAACTTAGTGAGGCCCTGTCTCAAAATACAAAATAAAAAAAGGGCTGGGGATGTGGCTCAATGGTTAAACACCCCTGGGTTTAATTCCCAGTACCTCCCTCCAAAAAAAAAAAAAAAAAACCCTGAAAATTTGGGAACTAAGTGTCTACAGACAATGACCTCTTTCTAAGTGGGCTCAAAGAAGCAGAAGCAGGATAGGTGGCTGGAAATTGCAAGGAGACAATGTTTAAGTCAGCATTCATAGAAGAATGTTCTAAGGCTCTATCTGACTGAAGTGGAAGGAGACATTTGAGGAAGGATTCGTTTCTGTGTCCCTCTAGGTGTGTTAGGAGCTGTGCTATAGAAAGGAGTCTTTTCACTTTGGAGGCTGGGCCAGCTGTGCTCTTACACATGCCCAGATGAAAAGCATTGGTTATCCCAATAATGTGTAGGAAATGACCTACTTATGTGTTACCAAGTAGGTCATCTCCCAGAGGGGTTTTCCTTTCCTCTTTCTTAAAAACAGAAAAAATTATGGGCACCCTTCAAATCCTTATTGAAGGTAGTTTGATATTGCTGAAAATAATATTTTGGCATAATAAGAATTTTCATTATTTCATTCATTTTATTCAATATATGTTTATTGAGCACCTAGTATCGACAATAATTTGTAGAGATAGTAGCTAACACATATTTATAGAGAAGCAAACTGAGTCACAGTGACATTAAGAGATCTCAGAGAGGGACAGAGGCAGGATTTGAACCTGACAGCCTTGCTCTAGGATTGTTGCTCCTCTCTCTCTCTCTCTCTCTCTCTCTCTCTCTCTCATATTGTTGGTTGAACCCAGGGGCACTCTACCATGGAGCTACATCCCCAATTCTATATATATATATATATATATATGTATTTTTTTTTGAGACTGGGTCTCACTAAGTTGCTGAGGGGCTCATTAAGTTGCTGAGGCTGCTCAAACTTAGGATCCTCCTGCCTCAGCCTCCTGAGTTGCTGGGATTACAGCCATGTACCTCTGTGCCCAGCTAGGGTTGTCATTCTTAACAACTATATCAACTCTCTGTTTCATGCAATATAGTCTCAGAGCTGACTATCCACTAACTGGGAGATCAAACTCGCACGTGACTGAGTTAACTTCCTGCTGGGATATGGCGTTAGGTACCCATGCTGCTAGACTGCCCCGCTCTTCTGGGGTTCGAGTACTGGTGACTGTCTTCACGCCAGGGCGTGTCTTCCTACAGCCCCATGGGTGGAGCTATGCTCACCTGTTCCTTTGTAATATTACCCTTTGCCCTGTTTAGGATAGAATGTTCAATGGAAGTGCCTTGTGTGTGTCCCCTTCTCTTACTGTGGCCTTGGGTGTGGCCTACCCAGGTGTCAGTCAACCTGCTGACAGTGGATATCAGGAAGATAGACTCAGCCCCCTGAAACCTGACCCCTTGCCTCATTTGAATAGCTTCTTCTCAATAAAAGGGGTCAGCGCATGTGCGCTCTCTCTCTCTCTCTCTCTCTCTCTCTCTTTCTGTGGACCCTTAAGGTCAGAGGAGCTGTCACAGTGACCCCAAAGAAAAAGGTATTTGTGTCTCTTGTGTGTTATTTTGTGCAGCCCAGTTAGCCCAGTTCAACTGGAGTGACCCCTGAGCCTTTTAGTCGCGAACAGAAACTTGGCAACTAACCATAATGCCTACAACCTCACAATACTTTATAGGGCCCATAAAAATGTCTGATTTCTTTTAAATCAGGAGAAAGAGAAATGAGCTTAGAGTTAAGAGAATGTTTTTTGCTTTTTCTCACACCAGAAAAAAATGTAAAACCATTATGGTGAGAGAGGCTGTGAAGGAAAAGTGCACCCATGAAAGTCAATATGTGGCCAGAGCAGCTCATACAGGGAATTTTGAAACGTGATTTTCGGGAAAGGTAGTATTTTAACTGGGCTAGTGCTCTTCCAACCTTTGAAGTGGTACAAAGGAAAAGGGATTGATGGACAGGTCACTCCACGTGCAGGTAAGGGGCCCGGAGATAGGGCAGTATTAATCCAGTGGTGTGAGTGGGGCAAGTCAGACATGACCTACTTAAATTGCTTACTGGACATCTAGAGAGCAGTGAGGGAAAGCAGTTTGCATTAGGGCAAAAGAGCCCAGAGTCCATTTTGTCCTGGAAGAGACCATCTTGTCCCAAAAGGGAAATGATTGCTGGGGAGGCGGGTGCACGGAGCCTGGGAGGTGTGCTAGAGAAGAGGAATCCTTGTCTTCTCTGATCTTTTGAGTTGTTAACCTCTAGACAGCGTTCACACTCTCAGTGCTATGCTCTAGGGCCTTTTATGTCTGTAAATTCTCCTCCTAGGATATTCTGTCACTGAGCAAATCAAATTTCCTGAGCTGGTCTCCTTCCTTACCTGTATTTCCATTTCCCAGATGTGTTTTATCTCTGCATTACCAGGAGAGTAACTCCCCCTCTTCTTACTTACCAGCCCAGGGTGAATGTTATTTCCTGACAAGCAGTTTAGATGCCAAAATAGTGCTGGGGACTAAAACACAACAAAAACCCACAACTATTTTTTTTAACAGTCTTATTAAGATAAAATTGAGCTTAAATTAGCTATAATTCATCCATTTAAAGTGTATATCAGGTGGTTTACATCAAAAGATTTTCCCTGGCCCTGAATTTTTCCAGGGTATCTTTGCTTATAGATAAGGAGTATTTCCCGCAAGGGATGGGAAGGGGAGATCAACTAAACTTCTACTAAATAGGATAGAATTTGTGTACTTATAGACAGGAATTATGTTGTATTTTAGTCCATTGCCTACAAACTACAAAGTTGTTAAAACTGCTTCCCTAGATTCAGAATCAGACAGCTCAAAGGGGTGTCTTTTAGAGTCTAGAATATACCCTTGGCACACTTTGATTCTTTATCAGCCTTTCCTTGTAATATTTGATGATGATGATGGTGATAATGGTGGTGATAGCTGAGTGACTACTCTGTATAGGTACTGAGGCAGGATTAGGGACCCTTGTCACCTCTCATGTCACCTCTATCAGTAGAAGTGATGTGAGGCTAAGAATTTCCCTTTCATCCTACACTGTTGCAGTTACTGGAAGAACTAACTTCCCCTAAAAACAAGATCCTGTTTTTCAAAAAGATTGTGGACCATCCCTAGGAACGTGTATAAAGACTCTCAAGTTTGACCTGTAGTAACCTAGAAGGGAGAATCTCCTACTTAATACCTCATACGTATTAGTTGCATCTCATATATCTAATGTAAAACCCAGGAAAGAGCATTTGGCACATGCACCACAGGCATTATGGGCAAGGCACAGGAATCTGTTGACCATCCTTCATTTAGCATAACCCACCTAGCAAAAAGCCTGCCAAAGGAGAACTAAGAACTCAGAAACATATCTAAGCCCAGACCCCTTCTGAGTTTGAGGGCAGATGTCTTTGTTATGTCCCTGCTGCCAGGATGCAGCATAGTTTCCTCCAATGAACTCTCTTAACTGCTTCCCTTTGTCTTGGAGAATTCTTCCTACCACCTGTGCACTGGCCATCACCCAAGTCCCATGACAAGTCCCTAAATGCTTTAAAAAACATTTTATTTAATACTTGCAAGAACTTTATGAGGTACTTATAATCATCCTCATTTTACAGATAATAAAACTGTAAAGAGAGAAGAAAAGCAAAGAGAGAAAGCAATATGCCTAAGTCAGTTCGGCAGGTGGAACAGGATTCAAAGCCAGGTAGGATGCCAAAGTCCTTCTCTTTTTCAGAAGGCTATCCTTGGATCTGCTTGACTTTGGGCTCCTTTTGTCTCTCGAGGTGAGTCTGCCATCAGTAGGTCCAACTTTAGGCAAGATCAAGACTTACAGGATATTCAACAACCCTGAGTCCCACTGTTTCCAGTCTTTTGTGCCAGTTTTGGCAACTGGGCTCCTGTCAATGATCATGTCATTGCCTAGTCCCCACTTCCAGGCAAGGCATCATATTTAGTTGCTACTGTCCTTGACCCACCTATACCTCTATTCCTGCATCAGGTATATCAGCTCTTCCAGAACTAAGATTGCTCATTTTTTCCATTCTCAATTTTTCAGGAACTCAAGTTTTGTCCATTTACCTCTTCCTGGATTCTGAGTTTGCCTGCTGACCTGGGCTTCCTCATTTTATGTAGTACCTGTGAGTGTATTTCTCCCAGATTTAGCCTTCCTCCTTCCAAAACAGCCCTTCTTCTTAGACTCTCATCTCTTGTGTTAAAATTAAAATGTAGATATTTCTAATTTGCTACCTTTCTCTCCTTGAAAACATAGTAATACCATGGTATTAAAAACAAACACCATGCTTGAGTATCTGCTTGCCCCTTCTCCCCACTTGGTACCAGCCAAAGACTTGAAGGGAGAGAAGGGGGAAGGGGCGGAGACAATACTACCCTTTATCCTCTTGTTGTCCATTTCTACCTCTCCTCAACAGGAGGCCCCACTTGTCACCCACTCTCAGCTCCATTGTCCTCAGGGCCACCACACACTACAGAAAGAAATGGTTATTGGCATCCAAAAGACAAGCAGGAAAATAATTTCAGCTTCTATGCAACCACAGGGCTAGAGCTTAGGAGATAAATCTTGGAATTTTCTCAGTTCTGGAAACTTCTTTTGGGCCAACTGAAGCTAGACCAACTTTTCCAACCTCAGGCCCACTCTTGCCAGTAGATTAAAAATCACTTTAATTCCTAACTACCTCTCAGTTCATAAGTAGAACTCTCTTTTGTAGGCCAGAACAATAAGGAAACCAGATCTTTGTCAGGAAAGATAGCTTCCAGCAAATTCTTCATACCTTTCCAGCAGAGCTAAATGGCTATTTCTCTGTAACATTTTTCTTGTCCCTCAGTTTAAATGATTCCTTTCTCCCTTCATGTTTCAGAAAACTTTGTTGAAAAAACACTTTTCAAAGTTGGTTTTTATCACTAAATTGTGAGCTCCTGATTTGACTGTTTTTGTTTCCCCAGTACAGTGTAATCCAGAGGAAGAACTCAGGAGTGAATGAACTTGGAAAGACAGAAGTTAGACTGGAATTGGAAAAAAGACACAATCAGTAGAGATGTCATTTAGACCCTGACACCAGTGTTTCTATAAGAGTGATGGATTCTGATACAATACAGGGAAATGATCTTTGAATATGTGATAGAATTTTTAAAAAATGTTTTGCATGGGGCAGCCAACAGATGGTCCATATCCTTGAGACTCAACTCTTGATTTTGGGGGGTAGGGGGCAGTGGGTGCTAAGAATTGAACCAGGGCCTTGTACATGCTAAGCATGCATTCTACCGTGGAGTTACAGCCTCAAGCCTATACGCATGCGCGCGCGCACACACACACACACACACACACACACACACAAATATGTATATATATAGAACATACACATATTTTTTAAAATAATTTTATGGTTACAAAAATAGACTTACTTTCCATTCTACAAAAGAGGATGATAAGTTCTATTATGTTTGTTATATACTTTCCTCATATTAGAATTACTTCTTATATATTAAGAATTTTTAGGAGTATTTCTTTAAGAATTTAGGAGATTATGATCAAATAGCATATGTCTACCTACATACTCAATTTTAATCTATATTACAAATTGATTTGATTTTTTAATTTGCACAAGGACTGAGATAAGAGTTCACTTATGGGCAGTATCCTTCAAAGGGACAGTGTGGGTTGAAAAACCCCAAGGAGAACTTAATTTTAAGCAATTTTGGATGCTCCCAGGTGCCCAGAAGCAAATACAAATGTTTCCTAGAGAATGTGCCCTCAGGGGACATTCACACAACTCTCACAGCACAACGTGGGCTCACAATTTAAAGAAAAAAGATAATCAAGGAACACTTGAAGAATACTACCATGAATAAGTGACAGCAGAAACACCAAATGATAAAAGCACCCCCAAAAAGACTTCAGATGTTAGAATCACTGGATAAAACATTTAATATGCTGACAGAGATAAAAGTGATGGCAAAAGAACAGGAAGGGGGCTGGGGTTGTGGCTCAGTGGTAGAGGGCTTGCCTAGCATATGTGAGGTACTGGGTTCAATTCTCAGCACCACATATAAACAAATAAAGTCCATTGACAACTATATATATATATATATATATATATATATATATATATATATATATATATATAAAAGAACAAGAGGGTATAAAAATGTCCAGTTTTGAGCATGGGGTTAGAAATGATGGTAGAATAAGATGGACATCATTATCCAAAGTACATGTATGAAGATACAAATGGTGTGAATATACTTTGTATACAGAGATATGAAAAATTATGCTCTATAAGTGTAATATGAATTGTAATGCATTCTGCTGTCATGTGTAACAAATTAGAATTTAAAAAATATCCAGTTTTGAAAAAGAATCAAATGGTACTTCTAAAGCTGAAAGATATTAAAGTTGAGATAAAAAAGAACCCAAATGGAAGCATTAAAAAGCAGTATAGCTCTGGTGCTAAAACCAGGAAGACCTAAATGAAAGACTGTTCATCCAGAGTTTGCTATATAGCAAGGAGTTGGCTGCCATGGCTTGAGTTTGGTAGAGACATTAAAGCAAGCATGGGCATGGAAAAGCTTTATAGCGACCAAAAGTGAAGTTTCCAGCTGTCCTCTGACACCAGGAGTCATTGGCTCGGGGAAGCTAGAGGTGGACTAGCTAGAAGTGAGCCTTATATGTAATTGGTTCAGGGTGCACATCTGGCCTTCTCTGCTTGGTCTGCTTAGTGCTCAGTGAGAAGCCAGAGTAAAAAATGGGAACATCGGTGGTCAGTGAGCAAGTCTTGAAAGTTTGGACAGATTGCTGTGGAGGTTGCAGTTTGCCTTCCTGGGCTTCACACGTGGGTCAGAATCCCATTACCACAAGGGCTCTGGCCTTGCCTTTTGTGTATTCAGTCTCTATCTAGGCAGAGTTGGTTAACTGGAAAACTTATCTGAAAAAAAAAAATGACTCAGAATGAAGCCCAGAGAGATAAATGTATGTCTTATCATATTTCTAGAAGAAATAGAGAAGAGAATGGGGAATATAAACTATTCATAGATATAAAGACTGAAGTTTTTTCAGGAATGAATGATTCAGATTTAAAACCTCAACAAGGCTGGCCACAGTAGTACATGCGACTGATCCCTGCTACTAGGGAGGCTGAGGCAGGAGGATTGCAAGTTCAAGGCCAGCCTGGGTAACTTATTGATGAGGTTAGGTGGAAGAGATAAGGCTAGGCAGATAGGGAAATGTGCCCCTGGGCAACTTCCTGGACAGTAGAGCACAAATAACAGCTGTAAGTTTTTGCTGAGAAACTTACAAAAGGTTATTTTTAAATTGGGATCTACGTGACCTGGAGTCCATAGGAATTCAGGACATAGGTGACCTGGAGTCCATGCCTCTCCAAAGAAGGAAGACACCTGATCAATACTTTGATTATCTAAAGGCTGTATGAATACCTTGTGAACACTGAGTGCTTGCCCAGTATTGGGAAGGGAGCTGACTTTCTTAAGTCCATAGATCCATATAAACCCCTAGACAATAGCCATTCACTGGCAATCTTCTCAGGTCCCCTTCCAAGGTGGGAGCTTTGCTTCACTTTGTTTCAATACATTCCTGTACTTTGCCTTTGCCCGCTGCTGGCGAAGAATCTCATTCTTTGAATCTGCAAAAAATCACCCAACCCCACACTCTGTGCTACAATGAGACCCTGTCTCAAAATAAAATATAAAAAGGGCTAGAAATGTGGCTCAGTGGTAGAATGCCCCTGGGTTCAAAATAAGTCAGTAAATAAATAAATTCCAATCAACTGAAATAAATATGGATAAATACAAATAAACATTGCCTATAGAAAAGATAAATTAATGTGCCTTTTTTTTTGAGGGGGGAATGCTGGGTATTGAATTCAGGGTCTTTTGTATATAAGGCAAGTACTCTACCACTGAGCTACATCCCAGATGCTGATGTATCATTTTAGGGGTAAAAAAAAAAGTAAAAATAAAAGGTTGAACAATAATAATACATAACCCAGAGGAAGCTGTTTTGAGTCAGGTTTGCTAAAGTTCTCTTTAAAGAGAAATATGTTATTCCATTTATACTTCAAGTGTGCATATTAAATTCCAAGGGTAACCACCCAAATGATACAAATGAAATCTATATGCTCCAAACCCATAAAGATCAGAAAAATGGAATGAAAAAAAAATTTAATCCAAAATAAGTCCAGAAAGAACAAAAAAAGCAAGGCCAATTGAGCACAAAAAAATATGAATATAAAATGGAAAAAAAATAAACTCAAATCAGTAATTGCCAAAAAAGTCAATGGTATACACTTCTCAATCAAAAGTCATGGACACTTAGAATGTATTAAAAAACAAAATCCTGATATGGTATTTTCAAAAGGTGAAACTAAAACAGTATCATTCCCTTATAATAAACTTGACTGTTGTATAATGACTTTCAGTGGGTTCTCTGGGTCCTTCTAGTGAAATTTTGAACCTGAGTCTAGTTTTGTGACACCCCGCCCCCACACACACTCTGACCTGCCACAAAGTTGCAATTGATGTCAGAAACAAAGGCAAGAGGGGCCTGGTGGCAAGCTCAGAGGCTGAGGCAGGAGGATCTCAAGTTCAAAGCTAGCCTCAGCAATTTAGGGAGACACTGTCTCAAAATGCAAAATAAAAAAAGGGTTGGGGATATGGCTCAGTGGTTAAGCGCCCCTGGGTTCAATCCCCAGTACCATTTAAAAAAAAAGTGAAGCTAATCTTGAAGACTTTTCCCTTGAATTTTGTAGCTGGCTGAAACACCGGTAGTTGATATCAGAAGTGAGGACAATTTTGTGTAGAAACTGTCCCCACAATTTAGTAATTCGGCCAACTCTGGGCATACATTAACAAAAACTCACCACATAAGTTACAAAATGTACCTCAATACAGTTCAAGGATCAGTAGCACTTTTTCTGACAATAATATATCTGATTTAGAAATCAATAACAACAACAACAACAACAAAAATAAAGATCTCACCCACAGGGAATTTTAAGTCATACTTTTCTTTTGGTACCAAAGGGACCAAAAAGAGATTGAACCCAGGGGTGCTTAACCACTGAGCCACATCCCCACCTCTTTTTATTTTTTATTTTGAGACAGGTTCTTACCAGGTTGCTTACAGCCTCACTAAACTGCTGAGATTGGCTTTGAGCCTTCAATCCTCCTGACTCCGCCTTCTAAGCCATTGGGATTACAAGCATGCATCACCACGCCTAGCTAAGCCACACTATTAAATAGCTTATGGATCAACCTAAATTAGTCAATCTTGGAATTGTTCCCATTGTCCTGCAGTTTTTGTTGCTAAAATAAAAGAATAAGACCTTTTAAAGACTCTCATAACATTTTTGAAAGGTCAGAAAAATAATTTATTATACTGCTTTTAAAGTCTTCTACAGAAGGAGTTTTGGTGAATTTTGTATCTCTGTGTTACAAAGGGAAAAGAAGTGCAATACCTTACTCTTGGTTTGCAAGAATAACTCATAGACCACAGACATCAGAAAAGATGGGAACTCACTAGTCAGCTCTCCAACCAAATGTGCATAATTGGGGATTGCTATAGAAAATGATTAGCAAAGATACACTGTGATGTAAGGTTTTTGTGTTTGATCTAGGAATATTTATAAGTTATCTTTTCAGCTTTAACATAATTAAAAACCAAGTATTAGCACATATAAATCAATGGAATGGAATCGCAAGTCCAAAAATAAACCTATGTGTTTACAGTCAGTTGATGTTTTATAACTGTCTTAGTGGATATGAGTGGTATCTGGGTTTTGAACTTACATTTTCCTAATCACTAATGATGTTGAACATCTTTTCATGTGCATGGAATTTGCATATCTTCTTAAGAGAAATATTTTTTCAAATTATTTACCCATTTTTTTAGTTATTGTGTTTTTATGGAGTAATGAGTTCTTTACTCAGACTTTATCGAATATATGATTTACAATTTTTGAAAATGAAAAGATAACCCACAAAATGAAAAAAGTGGAAACAATCCATATGTCCATCAATTGATGAAGAAATTGGAACCCTCATACATTGGCTGACAGGATCATAAAATGGTATGGCCACTTTGGAAAAGTCTGGCAGTTCCTTAAAGGATTAAACAGTATTAGCATATGACCCAGTAGTCCCACTCTTAAGTTTATACCCAAGAGAAATGAAAATAAATATCCACAAAAATTTTACAGAAATGTTCAAAGCAGCAGTATTCATAATAGTCAAAAGTGGAAACAACCCAAATGTCCATTGATTAATGGAGAAATTTTAAAATGTGTGGTATACCCACAAAATAGAACATTATTTGGCTAAAAGAAGGAATGAAGTACAGATACACAACATGGATGAAACTTGAAAAGATTTATGTTAAGTGAATGAAGTCAGACACAAAAAGTCATATATTGCATGGTTCCATTTATGGGAAATGTCCAGTATAAGCAAACCCAAAGAGACAGAATATAGATTAGTGGTTACATGGACTACGGGGTAGAAAGGAATAGGGAATGACTGCTAATGAGCATGAATTTCCTTTGGGGGTTGATAAAAATATTCCAAAATTAGGCAATGGTGATTTTTGCACAATCTTTGTGAATATAATAAAAGCCATTGAAATAAAGCCTTCATAAAAAATTTTTAAAGTATTATAATAAGCCAAACTAGCCCCAAATTTTGAATCAAAGTGTCATGGAATGATGATCATGTTTCATTTTTTAAAAGAAAGAAGTGTATTTCATCATTCTTTCATTAGCAAAACCAATGGTTTTTGTACTGTTCCTAATTCAAAAGGAACATTTTTTAATCTCCAATTTATTCTTTAAAATTTAATTCTGGTCTGTTTTACATTGTATATAAAGTATTAATTCTGCATTACTGGGATATAATTTCTAAATTCATAAATATACATATGTTGAAGATTTATGCACAAGGTTTCTGTCTGAGGGCACAATCAAACAAAGGTTTGAGATCAGTGCTGCGATGTCTTGTTAGATGACAGTCAGAAAAAAAGAAATGGAGAAATTGAAATCAGCAAGGGGTAGAGACATA